AAGAGCGTTTCCAGCAGGTCGAGGGAGATGATGATCCTTTCCACCCTGCTCAGCACTGGTGAGGCACATCTGGAGTGCTGGGTGAGGTTTGGGCTCCCTGGTACAAGAGAGACACAGACATACTAGAGCAAGGCCAGTGAAGGCCACAGAAATGATTAATGGAGTGGAGGGAACAGGAGAGGCTGAGAGAGCTGGGACTGTTCACAGCCCAGAGAAGAGACGCTCGGTGCGATCTTATCACTGGGCATAAATATCTGAAGGGAGGATGTAAAGCAGATGGAGCCAGGCTCTTCCCAGTGGTGCCCAGTGAAAGGACATGCTGCAGCTGACCCTCCTCTGAGCTGGGGGTTTGGACTAGATGATCTCCAGAGGTGCCTTCCCACCTCAGCTATTTGCTGGGGTGAAAAGCACTATTTTGTTCTTTTGAAATACCAGCACTTGAAAACCAACCAGTCAACTACAGACTCATGTTTTGTAGAATGACAGTACATTAAGTGACAGTTTTTAGAAGTGCAAGTGGAAATTGGATACCAGAGATGAGTCACACGTGATGTGACACAGCGATGGCTGAACAGACAGTGGTGCAATGGGGAAGCTGGGCTGCCCGCAGGGCTGCCCTCGGGCCTCCTGGATGCCAAGAGACCAGGAAAGCGGAGCCCTCTCACAGCGAGTTGTGCAGTGAACAGCCCAGGAAGGCAGATGGCTCCTAGGGAGTTTACTGTCACTTACACTCCACTGTTAGTCCGTGAATGGAAACGTATACAACTGGGATGAGTGAAGGATTTCACCCTCGCAAACAGAAAAGAAAAAAAAAAAAAATCTCTTGACATTTAAATGGCCATGAGCTAGGGAAGACAAGAGGAAGATCCAACATGTAGCCTCCAGTCTGGGATCATAACATAATAGTAAGCATGAAATCATTAAGATTTTAACCAGAAGGGATAGAAACAGCATGTGGAGACGGACACAGAGCATAAATAAGAGCAGCTGTTATAGCAACCACACAGCACACTGGGGATTTCATGCCGTTCCAAGAATGCCACTGCCTGGACACCAAAAGCGAGTTCAGATCTTTTTTTGTTTTTAAATTCTCCTTTGCTCCCTAGCAGAAGCTGCCACTGCCCTTCTGTCCTCATTTCACCCTGCACCCTGCGGAAGGTGGGGTGCAAGGAGAGGGGACTGCTATGTTTGCCAAGACGGTGGAAGCAAAGTGGGGATAAGTGCTGAGGTGCCTCAGTGGTTTCTCCCTGCACTGCCTGCCTCTTCTCCACAACTCTCCTGGAGCCTTAGTGCATACCCTAGTGATAACATCATGTTTAAGGATTTATTCCACTGTTGTTTTAAATACAACTGTAGTAAGGAGGCCTTAGGTTTCTTTTACTACACAGAAGGGGAGAAAGGGAGATCAAGCAGGAATTGTGCCTAACTTAATCAGCTGTGAGAGCTTAAGCCCACCCTGAGAAGAGGAGGAGGAGAGAGAAGCTATCAGCTGAGGCATCCCTGCAGCGCTCCATGGCAAACTACAGAAGGTAACTGAGCTCCTGCCAGCTTTCTGCCCATCACTACCCACCAGCCAAAAGATGCAGGAGGTTGCTGAGTACCTGCTCTGCCTGCCAGAGTGCTGGGGGCTGAGGGAGGGCTGAGTTAGTTAACACAAATCGACAGAGCCAATAACGTGATCTCTTTCCTGGAACGTTTTTTAGCTCCAAGAAAACCACCACCCCCCCACACAGTACCACATCCCTCAGCAAAATCTTAGGTCAGAGCAGAGAATTTCCACCTTTCCTCTCACACCTCAGGATCTGTTCTCATCTGTTACCTGTGGTTTATACCACAAAGCAAGCACTATAAGCAGAACAGCAGGTAGAGGCATAAAAATTTCCCATATATATAGTCTGCTGTACACCTGAGTTATATAGTTTATACATTGAAATGAAGATTTGTACAGCTAAAGCTTATACAAATGGTAGAAACTGCCACTGAGGGCCTATCTTACATACTGTAAAGGAGAAGAAACAAGGAAGTAACAAAAAAAAAAAAATACCAGTTTTGGGCACGAGGCTGAAAGGCCAGATTGTCTGGCAGCTCCACCCACAGGCAGAACCAACACAGGCAGAATCCTGCATGCGGTTTATATCCTGTTGTAAAGCTTACTGTAACACTGCTGGTTCACGCACTCCTCGCCTTCCACTCATCTCAGCCTACAGGCATCAAGAGCCTTGCTGCCCAGGTCACATCATGCGCCGACCCTTCGGCCCACACTGCGCTGTCAAGCCACCAAGGACTCACTGTTCGTACTGTGATCCGTGGAAACAGGTTTTCTAACAAACAGCACTGTGCACATACTGTATAGCAGGCATACCACAGCTCCTGCAGAATCAAAGCTGGCTCATGACTGCGTATGCTTGGTTCAAATTAAACACTTCTCTCGCCTATAACTGATACTTAACTGCTGGCCCCATGCCATAGCCTAGATGCCATTACGCTTTTAGCATTAGACATGTAAGAGCTACTTCTTCATTTAAAAGCCAAGAGAAGCCCTCTCATCTTTTGCATACAGAACCATCAATCCCCTTTCAACTAGTGTTGACAGCTCTGTAATAAAGTACTTCTAGAGCATGAAGGTTGTCCTCTTCAATGCAAGTTAACAAAACATGAAAGGCAACCTAACGCTGGGTTCTTTGGAGCCAAATGAGATTGGGAAGCAGGAGGAAGAAAAAAAAAAGACGCTGCTTTCAAATACAAATACTGACATTTGACAGACTCGCTCACTGCTTTAACACCAAAATATCAGCCCGAAGTTTTAAATAACAGTTCTGAGTTAAGTAGATAAATCTCTTTCCATGTGTCCTATGAAACTAAAGCCAATTTTGAAAAGAGACTTTTGTCCCTCAAACTGCTTAAGCATTTAACCTCTGGAGCAGGGACTGCCTTGTGTTGGTTCAAGCAGTATCACAAAGGGGTCCTGGTCCCAGACTGATAGATATTAGCACAATGCAATGATTATTATGAGTATAAACAGCCAAACTGCTGCACAACAAAGCAAGAGGGGATGGCTCAGCATTCTCAGTATAAAGAGGAGACATCGTTTATTTAGGGCTGAAAGTGTTCGAGCTGAACCAGCAGAGCTATATATACATTGGTTATTCATTCCTTGGATCTGAGAGCTAGGGTCTGAGGGATTACAGGGCTTTCACTCCAGCTGCACTGCCATTTCTCTTACAATTCTTTCCACCTGAACAGCCAATTACTTATAAGCCAGTAAGCGTTTTACTGGAGAGCACAATTAGCAGAGACTGTCACTCTGAAAACAAAGCAAGAAGGGTACCTCCTAGTTCCTCTGCTCTTTCCTATCACAGAAGGTTTAGGAATATCTTGTGCTATCTGCACCTATGCTAATAAAGGTAATGTTATCAGGTACTGAAATCTGCCCTGAAAAACAGCAATCTGCTTTACTTATAATGGGCTATCAGGGACTGCAATATGCTTCCCGATTCTGGAATATCAGGTGAGCTGTCAAATTGCCATATAAAAAAAGAATGGCCCAAAGCTACCTATGCTGCTTCAGCTAACGAACAGAGGGAAAGGGTCTACTAGGAGCAATGTGAAAAGGCACTTTTATCACCTGATCACAGTGGTAAATAAATCCCTCTGATTTACAGAAAAAGCTTCCTTCTACATTATTGTTAAGCCACCAGGTACCAGTCGCTGCTCACACTGGAAAAGACAGCAAATACAGTCCTCCCTGCTTTGCTACAAACTGGATCTGCCAGGCAGACACTTCCAATTGGCACCAAGAGTCACAACCTCCTTCGTGTTCATCTACTGCTACCCCCCGCCCATTGCAGAAGTCACTTCTGCAACCTTGCCTAAAGCTGGAAATGAACTGCAAAATAAAATACTGGTTGTTCCTCTGTCAGAAGATGGCTGCATCATTCCCAGGACATTCATGACAGAGATATGCCTTAGGATATAAAACACAGTTTGGGGAGAACGGCCTTGCTACAGAAACTCAGCTATTGGCTACAAAAGTCAATGTGACAGCTTGGGCTGAAGTTTTTAGATGCTTCCAGAGACCAATGATTCACAATTAGCAACAACATTGCTTTTAAAGGGATATAGTAAAACAGAAACAGACTATAATATACTAAGGAAATCGTTGCTCTTCTGGCGAGTAATGACACATCCACTTTTAAGTGACCCAGATAAACCAACTCTGGTTTTTGTTTGTTTTACTGAAGGCTGAGCTTTCTTCCACTCCCACGGATTCTCCTCCCTTCACAGCTTCATGGAGGCTGCTATCCACTAATAAGTGACAACATCATCTTTCTTTTTGCCTGCTCATCAGCCAGAGGTGGCTGGCTGAGTAATCAGGCAACAGCCACTACTACAGGCAACACGGTGTCTTCTGCTGCGCTGCAAATCCTGGCCAATTACAAGCACTTTGGTTTGATCACAGCGGGTATTCAGAGTGAGAACAGAGCTGTTGCTAAGCACAGGGGCGTTTCAAAGGTTGCAGAGCACCGCAACCTGCAGCATCCCACAAAGGTGGCAGATATGTATGGAGCAGCAATGCACATCACGGTAGGCCATTAATCTCACCACTCTCAATGCGTTCCTCAGCTGTGTTTTTACAGGCTGGGAGCTCACACATTCATTGTGGCAGCAGACTGCTGCTGTAGCTTTCTGTTAGCTCCAGCATTACAACTAACATGAGAACCTTGGATTATCACTGCATTCAAAAGAGGACTCACAGCACTCTGCTTATTAATATTTCCTTGTGTCTAGAAGCAGAAGAAAGCTAAGAGGGGAGCAAGACAGCAAGAAAAAAAGAGAAAAAAAATAAAAGGCCTCTTCTGCTGTCCATTCTTAGTAGCATCATAGCTTTTCTTTTTTTTTTTTACAGGTTCTTTCCCTCCCTTCCTGATAGAGAGAAGATGTGACCTAGTTGTTAAGGCCACTAATGGCAAGATGATATTGCACTTACGGTCGGGGGGTATGGTGTCACTTAAATAAATTAATAAGGGCTAAATCCAGAAACATCACAGATGCCACAATGCCAAGTATTAAAGCATCCAGCCCTGAGGTTAAAATCCAGAACCCTGAATTATGCAGTGAGGCTCCCTGTGGCGGGTATACGAGGCATGAGGCACTTTGGAATGGCACCTGAACAACCAGCCCACTGAATGGAGAAGCTGAATTAAGAGGAAAATGCTGAACGGAAAAGGAGAAATTAAAAAATTTTGCAATTTTGCAACATTTTGCCTAGCTTTTGCTAAGCTTCAATGCCCCATTAGGCCATCACTCCACAGCCCAGTACCAAACAGACTACGCCAGCGTTTCTTCCAAAGGCAGAACAAATGCCCTCTTGAGCGCTATTGCCAGGGACGTAGCATTTGCAATGGCGTCATACATCATCCCACCCACTGTTGTATACATTTTGAACTAGAGCACAGGGGAGACCGATTGACCTTTCTCTGCAACAGAAGGGGATTTGAACCCAACACCTCCCATTCCTGAGGAGCACACCCCAACCATGATGCTCACTCTTTGCTCCCATCCTATTCACTTGTCAGAGAAGGTAGGGGGGGGAGAGGGGGAGCACTATTTAAGTAAGGTGGGTGAAAAAAGGTGCTTCTAAGTTGTAGTCACAGCTCTAAGAAATTCTTACACATTTTACATAAAACATTCCCAGGATAAAAAGCACCAACAATTTCTCCAGGTGAGGACTAGAGCACAGGATCCTCCTCCCTTTCCCTCTACCTTGCCCACACTAATGTACCAACTATTATGTTGGACCTTATCCTTGCTTGTTTTACTTCCTCTGGCCCAAAGCATCACAAAGCAAATATCCTGTGTGCATGCGTGCGCACACACACGCACACTCTTCCTTCTCCATTTATCTTCCTAAGCAGCTTCCACAGTAGCTTACACAGAGCTTGACTTGGTGGGCACTTTCTGAAAAAGAATATTGTGTGCCTACCACATCAAGGTCTTCACAGATGGGCAAAAGGAGATTAGTTAATTCATCTTGATCAGACTGGCATGCAACCTGCTCAAAATCCAGGCTTTTTGAGAATGCAAAGAAATATTATGTGTTAGGAACAATTTCCTAGGCAGAGAGCAAAGATGCACTTCTGAGACAAGAAAATGCTCCATGTTTTCCTATTTCCTCTGTGCTGCTATTTTGGACATGTCTTTTTAATCTAACTCTAATCCAAGTTCACTCAAAGCCAGAACGACTGTGAAGTTCTGTTTCTTTTTCAAAGGATGTTTGTAATATACACAGGTGTTAAGGTGATGAAGCCATAAATACATGTGATGGTCAGTACAGCCATACGAAATATTTGCTTTATAAATGTATGGCTTATTCTGGAAGGGAACTTATTCTTCAAACAGGCACTCAACATGCCATAGAGCACAGACACCAAGATATGATGTTATTTGCCAAACTGACATGGTTCCTGCTTCCATGAAGGACACCAGATGAGATCTCCCTCCCATTCTGTGGGTGAGTTTTGTTTTCCTTCCTCCTCTTAAATCAAACCAAGGCAGGTCAGAACTACCACAGAAACTGTAGAAATCACCTGTGAGTCTATACCCTATGCTAGGTAAGTCAGAGTAGATGGCCACAACAGGCTGTCCTTAAATCACAAGTTCATAGATTTCCAGTGGATGATGTATCAGACTATGATTAGATAAAAGAATTCTCCATGGAATAAATTAGCCTTGAGCATCTCTTCTAAGCATTCAGAGTGCAACCTGACAACACGCTACACAAGAAAATAAAGCCTCTTGTAGGCAACCCACAGGAAAGTTACTGTTTTGATTTCTACAGAAACAGCAGGTTTTGTATACAGCTCTTACAAAAAATAATACAACTATACAAGAATAAACAAACAAACAAAAAGAATCTATTTAACCTATTCCAGGCTGAAGTGGATATAGCATGAGATAGTCTGTTGAATTCAGTCATGTTTATATTTAGTAAGCCTCAATAAATCATGTCAGACAGTTACCCTGTACGTAATCTTTCTGATTTAGAAAACTTACCCATTACAATGACAAATGCAAAACTAGCCAGTGTCAGTGATGATCCACTGTTGATCATGTTGATGAGCAGCTTGAATAAAGGATATAGCAGCAATAAGGCCCAGAAAAGCCAGTTCAAAAGCGTCCATGGTCGTCGGGGTGGTACTATAGGGACTGCTGGGTAGGTTCCTGTTCGGTAGTACTCTTCCTGGAATGCATCCTAGGAGAACAAAGGAGAACAACAATTAAATCCCCATCTGCAAACAAAATTCACCATTCCTGACTTTGATGTTCCTCTTTCTGCACATCTGTAACCACGGGGGAAGATCAAAGACCACATCATGGCTGGAAAGCTTGTACTTTGAAATCAATGAGCACACAGTCAAAAAAAACCTCCCAAAAAATCACCACCTTATGTTGATGTCTGCAGCCTTTCTTTCTCTGACACATAGAAGCCTGAAAAATGGCATGCCTACAGAATGTAAAAGTTCAGCAAAACAAGAAGGGTGAGGGGATGTACACTCCTGCAGCAATGTAGATATCACTGTTGAACATCCTACAAGGGCCACAGCCACTGGACAAATACTGCTGGTAAGCCAGAGAAGTGTTTGGACTACACGTTCAGCAGTGGATCCTCTGTTCCCTAACGTTTTCTCCAACCACTGCTCTAAAACAGCATCTACAGCCCTGTCAGAAAAGGCGAGCAGACACCATCTTGTCCCATACTCCAAAGAATACCACCCCCTCCTGTCTGCTTTGTCTCATAGATGCAGTCTTGTTCATTTTGTTCCCATGAAGCTTACAGAAGGAAGTTTGGGTGCTGAACCTCTCTACAGGCAGTTGAGCATGCAAAGTTTAGAATCTCTCACTCGTTTTGACCAATGGACTCTCCTTCTTAGTATAATATGAGGAAGATAATGGGGTGGAGGTTGGATTTTTTTGTATTGTGGAATGTGCACAGAAAACTTAAGAATTCAGTACCTTCCTCTAGAGCCCATATAGGTGAACGGCATTGCCTTTAGCAATGTGATCAACGCAAGATATCAAAGTGGGTGGGGAAAAAAACCCCTCCTTCTGGTTCAAAAGCAAGATTATTAATCTGTGTTATTGCATAAAACTGGTTAATTAATGAAGTCAGAATTAGGCTCACATAAAAAGGGACCTCAATTTAGTCAGAATGAAGTGTTACATTTCTTCAAAAGGAAGGAATGCTTCATGATGGTTTCCAAAAATTCTGGCAAAGCCAAGACTGTCCTAATCAACGACAAGATTATTCCTGCTATGGTATGATTTTACATTTACTTACACTCCAGCTGACACAGACAATTCTTTAATTATTTAATGGCAACTTGAGCAATTACAGGCTGCTACCATTTTATCTATTTCAAAGGGAACATTTAGCTTTTAAGAGATTACACAGTAATTAAAGCATTGCGCTCTCTTTATTGAGATTAGAAAAACGATGACTGTTCTGCGCATGTGAGCTAAGTTATACAGGGACCACTATGGCAAATTAATTATCTGTCTTCAACAAATTACATGACGTATGAAGTTTTCTTTACAGTGCCTTGAGGATTTTGGTTTATGACTGGTTTAACACAGAGCTACTAATCATCAGTAAAATGAATTCTACTATATACAATTAGGTTTCTAAATACCAATATTACCCAGGAAAGTTAAGAATTTCTGGCTATTATTGGTATCGCCATTAGGGGGCCTATTACTACAGACAGCAAGACAGACTCACTTAGAACAAGCACAGCAGTTTTGTCTTTGTTGGCTCTGCACAGCATTAGGGGCAGTAAAACCACTGCCACACCACACCAAGAGGTTTGAGACAGAGGGAAGAAATATACAACGAGCAAAACAATGTCAATGCCATCATCCCCACTACACGTTTTACAACGTTGTGGGGAACAGCTCTTCAATTCAGTTACAATTCCTTACCCTTAAAAACATTCACATTCCTTGCAGAAGAGATCTGTGGATTGCTCTGTCATTTAAGCTTTTGCAAGGGTGCCTGTGGTACCCAACAACTCAAGTCAGCATTTAAACCCATGATGTACCTCAAAATTTCCCTCAATCACCTCACCCACATAAAGTTCCTTTCATTCCCCTGCATACAGAGCTTGTTTTCAGCTTGTAATAAATCCCCCCTGCTGTATCATATTCAGGCATAGAAACATGCTCCTTCTAATGCCCCCCCAACAAATCTGCATCACTTCAGACAGAGGGGTGGGTCATGCAGTGGGGGGAAATCAGGGAACATTCACCATCTTGTGAGAGGCTAAATGGTTTCTTCCTCCATGCTCCTACCAGGAAGGTCTGACTGTAGAGATATGCCACTGCCCTTTCGTGAGGAAGCCCACGAAGAATGAGTATCCAAAAATATATCCTTTGTTCCCAAACACTGCAGTTCTGTACACTTCCCCTCCTCAGTTATGCTTTGCTAATTCCCTGGGGCATTTCAGCCCTGTTTTCCATGCTTCTCTTACAAGTGAGAAGAGTTAGAAGCTCCCTTTCTTTTTAATGGAAATTAAGATTCTCAAGCAGAAATTCTATTTCAGGCACTGACGCTGTAAGGAGGTGAAAAAAGAAAACAAACATGCAAGGGCTAGCAGAGTTGTGACTATCATACAGTACCTCTTCAGACCAGGCACTGAGATGCTCAACCCGATCATTGTTAAAGTCAAAGGGAGTCTTTCTAGCAATGGCTGTTTGAAAAAAAAAAGGGGGGAAAAAAAAAAAAAAAAGAAAACAGAAACGTGCAATGCAAATTGCACCTCTGTCATAATTTGGCATTAACTCATTACAGTGCTGGCCATCTGTGGAAGGACAAAATTCACCCCAGGTGACAAAGAAGCACATGGACATGGTGCTTACTACAAGCCTGGGAAAGGAAGGAGAATTCTGGTTTAGAAGAGCACAGTGCCATTGTTTATCTGGCAAGGCCTCTTTCATTGCATTTGCAGTAGTGGCTAAACAAGAAAATGAAGTGGTAAGTAGCAAGAACATAAACACACCAGATTCCCAGAGAGCTATCTCAGACCGAGGTACATGTAATCAGGCAACGAGGTAAAAAACAATGGAACAAGCTTTTCTCAAAGACTCTCACTTGTCTGTTAATGACAATTAAAAAAAAAAAAGTGTCATGTTCCTTCATGTCCACTAACTTCTGATTTCACTGCTCAAACAGCTTTGTGTCCCTGATTATCACAAGTGCATGGCACTCCAACCTTCACCTCAGGACCTGTGGCACACCCCACCTACTAAATCATGCTATTAGAGCATAATTCAGCACACAGTATCTAAGTCTTGAGAAGATACTCCAAAATTATGAAAATCACTGAGAACAAGCAATGGCACATGCAACCATAATGTAAGATACAACAGGGGCTCTGTTTTTTCAGTAGCATGCATACCTTCTCTTACTTTGAAACAGAAACTGGAGCACTACTAGCAAAATTGACAAAGCAAGGCATGAGTGCACACCATGCAATGAATTACTGCCCTTTGAATACAGATTTGTTACATTTTATCATAAATATTTATGGACTCTGAAGACAACAACCTGAAACAGAACCTAGGTGGCAATGCTGCTTCTTATCCAACCTCAGATCCAATTATCTTTTTAAAGATGCATGGCAGAAAGATGAAACAGAATTGCATTTATACCCCGCTAGGTGGGCTTTCATGATCTCAGAACTCTTGAAGATGTTGTCCCCGCCCTGTGTCCTCCCAGCCTGATTTTACAGAGACATAGGTCTGTGTAAACCAGGAATGAATGTAATGAAATAACAGTTTCACTGACGTAAAACAGCTGAAGGAAGAGGAACATGCCACCTTCAGAAAAAAAAAAACAAACCACTGCCAAACCTAAGAAACCCAACAAATCAAAAGAATGCCACACAACCAAAAAGGTTTTAATGGAAAGGAAAACTAAATACACACATTCTTTCCTCCTCTACTTAAATAGGAAACTATGGATTTAACCAACCAGCAAACTAAGTTATTATGAAGAAAGCAGGACAGATGCATGCTCTGTTTGCACTAGAAATAACTGAGTGTTTGCCAGAGAAGGAATAACATAAAAAACATGATTTGCTGCAAACTATATAATAAGGGATTCAGGAAAACAATCACCACATTCTCATTTGATTTATGTTCTTGTCTTGCAAACGTCTAAACATTTCTTAGGAACGTGAAACAGGGTTACATTATATGCCTGTCGAGAGAGCACGGGCCCATGGGTAACGTAACACCTTTCTGCAGAAGGCAGAAAGATGTTATGGGCCATGCCTGAATTAGGTGTTAGTGGCACAATTTACAAGGGAGATCAAAGGCAAAGCTAGTAGATCTGCAACTGAGGCCTCAACACATTTACCTTCCACATTCCCGTAAACAAGCTGCTTAGAGGGGCTATGAATTAAACCAGGAGCAGTCATGGTTTGAAGCTGAGAAAGACAAGAACACAGTCAATACAGAAATGCTACCATGGTGTTCTGGGTGGAGTACAACAAATGGCACAGCAGGATTTTGCTGCCCCAGTGAGAGGAAACCAGAGCACAGCTATATTCTATGACTTCTAAATCCGAAGCACTGCTGTATTCCAGTCTGAATACATAACTTGGATCAACTTATTGAAGTAAACTGAGCTGCCAGGCCCTCATGCTTTGCATACCTATGACTCCCACTGACTGAAATGGGAGTGCTGCGTGTATTCAAAGAGAGCATCCCCCAACCATTACCTCCTATGTTCATAAAAACAAAACCCACGAGAAACAGATTCTGAAAGTTTGAAGGATGCATATGAAAGTATTTGGGGAAAAAAAAATCTGCAAGCATCTACAAACACACAGTCATAATTATTCTGCCCCCATCCTATGTAATTAGGAATCTTAAATGCACACCTTCTATGCACACAATGTGAAAGCAATTTATCAGCCTGTCCTATTAATGTGCAATCTTTGCCTTGCTAAAAAAGACAGGGTAACACAAGGGACAAAAAATTTCAATATACTAAAGCAAAATATGCCTCATTTAGCCCACAAATTACTTCTTGATTTAGGATGTGCCTTTAAGGGGAAGGAGGTCCTTCTACCAACCAGGAGGTAGTTGTGGTTTTGTATCCTTATGCAACTTTCTAAAGAACAATTTTAACACGACTCTATCAAGGTTTGCTTAAGCTTTCTTCCTACAGCTCTTTAAGCACAAAATAAAGGCAATCACGACTGACAGCACAAGACCAGTTTGTGTCTGGAGAAACAAAGCACTCATCCTGAAAAATAAACCAACCAACCAACCCACCCACCCCAAGCCCCCAGAGCAGGACCACTACTGTCCTGGTTTTGGCTGGGATAGAGTTAATTTTCTTCACAGTAGCTAGCATAGTGCTGTGTTTTGGATTTAGTACCAGAAGAATGTTGATAACACACTGATGTTTTCAGCTGTTGCCAAGTAGTGCTCAGACTACTCAAGGACTTTTTGAGCTTCTTCTGCTCGGCCAGGTGCATAACAAGCTGGGAGTACAGCACAGCTAGCACAGCTAACCCAAACTGACCAAAGGGCTATTCCATACCATATAACGTCATGCTCGGGGGGGTTAGTTCGTTTGGTCGGTCGTTCGGTTCGGTCAGTCGCGGGCAGAGTGGTCGCAGCTCGAGCTGTGTGATCGCGGCTCGGGGGGAGTGATCGCGGCTCGGGACGGGCTGGGCACCGGTCAGCGGGTGGTGAGCAATTGCATTGTGCATCACTTGTTTTATATATATTCTGTATATTCTCTTACTATTATTATTATTATTATTATTATTACTACTATTGTTATTCTTCTCTCTTATTAAACTGTCTCTATCTCAACCCACGGGTCTTACTTTTTTTTTCTTTTCTCCTATTCTCTCCCCCATCCCACAGAGGGAGGGGGGGGAGTGAGCGAGCGGCTGCGTGGTGCTGAGTTGCCAGCCGGGTTAAACCATGACAACTACACATGCACTCTGTAAAGGTCTACTAGCATTATAAATAACTGAGCACCACTGGCTCGCAAGAGCTGTCTAGACAAAAAACCAACCTTTTCTTGATACAGTTTGTGGAGCCAATTAGAACACTCCTGCTCGTCTTCTGGGACTTCCTCTAGTGGAATCCGCCTGCCAACGGTAAACAAGAGAAATTGAAGAATATTAAATACTTCGGCTCCCATGAACAGCACTTACAGACAGTTTATCCACCTGACAGGAGACTCACTACATTTTCCACCTTTTTTTAATTTGTGGTAACAGCTCACACATCAGCAAAGTACTTTGCTTCCAGAGCCACCTTCAATTTTTAGATGTATCTGAAATTCAGAAATTTAGATTTCTGAAACAGTAATGCATTGTGTTTGAGCTCACTAGAGCCACTTTCTAAATAAAGGTTTGCAATTTTCTGTTTCCAAACAAAGGTTTTGAATGAATTGATTTCTTACCTCACCTATGGAGTTCAAGGCTGTATTTAATCAGCTAGGCATTAGAGAGAAAAATCAAACTATTCTCCTTATACCTAGGGTAAAGCACTCTAGAATGTCTCAGGTAACATTTCCAAATCCTATAATTTTTATTACACGCAGCTAGGTTGGATAATATCCAGAAAAATAGCTCCTATCACTGAAAAATCCTCTCTTGAAAAAATGAAGTTTTCATCACATTACATGAATTTTTGTCAATAATCCTGTGACAGAAAAAAATCCCCTTGTCATCTTCATTTAGATACACTAAGAGCAATATTTAATAATTTTACATTTTTAAATATAATATATATTTATTTATGGATATTTAATTAATATCCATTAAGAGCAACATCAAATTAACTTCCTCCAAAACAGAAAAGAGAACTTTTCAGTCAGTTAATAAATTGAGGTGTGATACTACTGGTTTGTTCCTTTATTTAATGAAGTCATAAGATGACAAACATTAGAAATCAATAGAATTTAAGCAGAGACAAACAAGGCCAGCCAAATTTTAAAAACTTCTACTGAATGCAACACCTACAGCACTTCAATAAGGAAACATGGAGGATTTTGAAGAACATCTGTGACAGTCCCCAGTTAATTGCCAAAACAAATTTTGCCATGAGATCTACCCTGCCTGTAAAAGCTTTTCAGGAAGCTCAAAAGGACAGAGGGCAAATAGCTAGCCTGAGTTGTGAAAAGCAATTTCTGCACTCTGCTAGATTGAGCTGCAGCAGGCTGGAAGGGTGTAAAGGGAGACACAGCAAGATGCACATGGCTACGCTGTTGGAGAAATGGCCCACACAGGTAAGGCCAGCTTCTCCCCCGTAAACACTAGCCAGCCAGGCCATGTACATCAAACACAAGGCCACTAGGCTGAGCTACCATGAGAGCCAAGTGGGAATGCAAACGCATGTTGCACCCATGAAGAATCAAAAGAAAGTTTCTTTTTACCCTTGGGCAAAAACAGTTCTGAAGAAAATATTTTTTCAAATATGCAGAAAAGGGGAGGTAAGAAGAAAAGGTCGTCTTACTCCCCTTCATGTCTGTACCCAAGATAAACCAACTGGACCAGCCAATAATAGCTATAATGGGCTTATGATGAACTCCTGATCACTTGTGGGATCATTTCTAGGCTCCTATGCTCCAAGCCTAAACCATCACATACTTTGAGTGCCTGCAGCATGGGTGCTGCTGGTAGAACCTGGCCTGGAAATAAGGGCCTTAGAATTGGCCCATTCTCATTAAGGTTATGGGAAGCCATTGGGGTATTCATCACTTACAGAAACATTAATGATACAGAATCCAGGTAATTGTTTTTTCATTAAACAGCCCCCTTTCTTGGTAGGGAGGGAGCAGCAGTCAAATACATCAACAACTACACCAAACAGAGATGGGAACAGCCCTGAGTCTGGCCTCCACCTGAGTGGGAACTATTGTACCAGAGACTGGTGTAAAGCCACCCCATCTGAACACTTAGTAGATGTTTGGTATGCTGGCCAAGTGAATGTAAAGAGGCCCACTGTTGCTGCTGAGCTGACAAACAGACACACAAGCGAATAAAAAAAATAACTAACAAAAAATCCTGTAGAGTTTTATAGGGTCCCCACATATTTCTACTCACTGAACTTTAAAAGAAACCCTTCCCATCCCATATGAGTTTTTATCTGCAGTTCTGTGAAGCCCAGTTGGTAGAGATTTGCTGTCCGTTACCTACTTGAAAATATTTCCTCACTTGTGTAATTGTGGCTGCAAGTACACACTTCCGTATGCCAAAAAGGAATTAAAATATGGATTACTTGCCTTACATATAAATCTGCATGATATTTCTTTCCATTTAGAACTCCCAGCAATGTTGGATTCTCGTTGTTTCTAAAATTGAGGGTAGAATCATAGACTGCAGAAACTACAAGAAGAAAAACAGGTTATGTGATTACTGTGGTAATGGAGTGGAAATAAGTAATTCTCTCTCAGACACAGAGCACATTTAGATATGAAGTCATCAGCAATAGCACCATAGTTTGAGCTGTCACCAAGGTAAAAATGACAATGGAATATTCAACACACAGGTTTTAAGAAGCCAAATAACCAGTGACCCTTTCAGGAACTGCACCAGTACAATGGAAGGGTTTGGTCTCTACTTTTGTCTCCTCCCTGATCAGGTACAGAACGTTGGGCACAGGGAACACTTAACAGTTTCTAACAGTTAATATACCTAGGACATTCTAGGAGTCAAATGGTTTCTCAATTCACTGCAAATGACACAACTCCCCCCCACATCTGGATAAATAACCAGGCAGACACACACTTTATAAACAATGAACAATATATACAGTTTGACTAAGAATGGGTAAAGTGTGCGTGAGACGCATCCTACAGCAGGAGGGCTTAATGCAACTATGAATCACTGTAGTTCAAAACAACCTCCCCTTCACGTCCATTATTTGATAACTGAGGCACTTGCTATAGGGCAAAGGCAGAGAGAGAGTAACAGACCATGTCCTGTGTGAGCTGGGCTGCAGCTGTGAGGAATAGAACATGCAAGTTCCACAGAACGAAACTGCAAACAAACTTTCAGCCTTGAGAAAACACTGTTTTTGCGATTCAGAATGGCGCGGTAGAAGTGTTTGTGAAGGTCATTCATAGTTAAACTAAGACAGCATTAACAAGCGGTTTCTATGGAAAAAATGTTCACTATTTTAAACCACATAAAGTGTTTCAAAAGAGTTTCTTTGAACACATCCTTAGCCTTTTCCTTTTTGTGATGTCACAAAATTACCAGAGAGCAACTAATTTTCCTGACACTGAAACCAACTGTGCATCACGGTACAAATTCTAAGATGAGTGCCTGCAACAAAACTTGGGGTTTTGTCACAAAAGCGACTAGCATGCACTTCACATGTAGCTCGCTGTATTTTAGGTTTTCTGCTCTAGAGTTTTGCAATAATGAACACTGTGATGAACCTTTATTGTGAGAGCCTCTTGACCCACCTAAGAAAGCCTTTTATTACACAGAACAGACTTGGTTTTGAAGCCTCTCTAGCTATGAAAGATAAACATGGGTTGGTCACAACGTTCAACCCCCAGAAACTCACCACAACATTTGTTACTGCAAAACAGAATTCATAGCGCAGAACAGAGCAGCCCGGCTTCAGCACTGCAAGGAAGTCCTGAAAACAGAGGCCAAAACCCTGTCACTGCACACAGGCTGTATCGCTCATTAACAACTCTATTCTTTCCCTGCTACAGTTGGGTTTTTAGCCCAAACTCAGAACTACAACACATAAGCCGAAATCTACTTCAAGCACACTAAAAAATCAGTTTCCACACACAAACACACATTTGTTGGCAAATCAACAAATTGTTACAGGGCTGAAGAACATCCAGAACAGTCAGTTGTTTGGCTACTTAGACCATGGGACTTGCTTTGCAAA